GGGTGGTTGCGGTGGAGTGGATGGAAAGGGATATAAAAGGAGAAAGGAAGGAGGGGACAAGTACCTTGGGCGATATCTTTCATCGTGGACTCTTTCTTCGGCCGTTATTTGCACCGCAGGCACTCTCTTTTGTCCGCGATTGGTTTGCTTTTTACCTTTCTCTCTCTTTTTTTGTTTATATTACTTTTCATTCTATAGCGTTCTATACGTTTCCATTTCACAAATTACTAGCATGCCATTAAGCACAGGACACTCACCAAAAGCAGCCGATTTACCCTCCGTAATTGCATCATAAACCCGACAGCAATTTACTACATCACATCACATCATCGAAATTGCATAATCACATTAAAACGTCAACATAATATTTCCACTTCATTTTAACAACAACAAAAAAAAAAACGGACGACAATTCCACCCAGGACACAGGCGAGCCATCTACATTACACAGGAACACCGACACATGTCAATACAAAACAAGAAAAATAAACATGAATAAAAAAAAACAAAAACAAAAAAAAGAAAAACATCACTTCAGATAAAGAATTAAATGAATTTCACTTCAAAAAGTACCTCCCTAATCTCTTTAACAAGGTCGTCCATAGTCGTAGCGATCAATAGGTCACACGACCTGGAACGACAACGAGGAGTGCAAGCGACAAAGTGATGGGGGAGGGGGGAGGGGGGTGTGGGGGGAGGGTATGAGACGACCTTTTGAGGTAATCCAATTTACGGCCGTGGCGAAAGTTGGGCGTTTGAAGAGACTCGATAATCAGCCGTATTCACATATAATTTCGTGCGAAGGGCGGCTGTTGGGAGCACGCGGAGGACACCGGATTTTTGAGAGGGCCGAAGGAGAAAGAAATATGGCCGAACTATATATATTTTCTTAAAATATTATTTTCCTTTTCCTCTCATTGAAGAGAAGGGGTAAAATCAGCAAATTCTGGAGGTTTTATTCTGAAAGAATTGTTGTAGATATACACATCAAAACCACCGCAGGAAGAGGATGATGAACCGTGATAAAAATTTCATTTTTCCTCAGTTCATCGTCTTTTTTTATCATTATTTCCTTATCAGATTTGTCTTTCCTCTAATTCCCTCATGCGCGTTATTGCCTTATCTCTTTCTTTGTATCCTTACTTAAAAAACCTCCCACAAAAGCGAATACTACGACACACAGAAAGATATCAAACACCAACGACACGCGAACACTCACCTCGGAGAAAACACAGCGACAGAGAAGAGAACAAACACCGAAACGAACACCACACAAGCATTCGAACACACCGAAAACATCGCTACCGACAGATCCACCGAAACGGACAAACGGACGGAAGAATACACGGACGACGACGACGACGACCACTACGACCACGACATTCCTCACTCCTCCTCCCCCTCACTCCTCCTCCTCCTCCTCCTCCACCTTTTCCTCCACCTCCTCCTCACTCCTCCTCCTTCTCCTCACTCCTCCTCCTCTTCTTCCAGCTCTCCGGCGCACGACTCACGACTCTCACGACACGACTCACCTCGCCGTCGTCGCTGCGGAGGCGAGGTTTTCAGACTCGGACCTCGACCTCAAGAACGAAGCAATGGAACTCTCCATGTCCCCGTGGGCCACGCCGTTCTCCATGGTCAGGCCGATGTGCGAGGAGGACCTGGGTCGTGAGCGGGTCGTTAGTGGGAGGGGCGTTAGGCGGGGAGGGTCGTTGGTGGGAGGGTCGTTAGGTGGGAGGGTCGTTGGTGGGAAAAGTTGTTAAGGGGTAGGTCGTTAGATGGAAAGGGTCGTTAGGTGGGAAAAGTCGTTAAAAAGGTCGTTAGTGGGAGGGTCGTTAGGCGGGGGAGGTCGTTAATGGAGGGTCGTTAGATGGGGAAGGTCGTTAGTGGGAGGGCTGTTAGTTAGCGGGGAAGGTCGTTAGTGGGATGGTCGTTAGTGGGGAAGGTTGTTAGTAGGAGGTTCGTTAGTTGAGAGAGACGTTGGTAGTTAAGGTTGTTAGTTGGGAGGGTCGTTAGTAGGGAAAGGTCGTCTTTTTTAGAGGGAGAGCCGAATTAATGGGGAAAGGCGGGAAGGGGTAAAAGAGAGAAAAAGAGAGAGAGAGAGAGGAGGGAAGAACCAGAGATTGGGAAAAAAACTAAGACAGAGAAGCAATTTAAATAATATGAGAGAGAGAGAGAGAGAGAGGAGAAGAGAGAGAGAGAGAGAGAGAGAGAGAGAGAGAGAGAGAGACAGACAGACAGACAGACAAAGAGAGGGAGATGGAGAAAAGTAGAAGAACGAGAAAGGAAAGAGCAGGAAGACCGAAGACTGTGCAATCGAGAATGTAAACAGATATTTGAAGCACTCACCTTCTTGGCATGCTGGCCGGCAGACTCAATCCACCGCTTCCGCTGTTCCACATATCGTTCCCTCTTCCACCTCCACTTCCTCCGCTGCTGCCGTCGCGACCACCTCCACCACCATCGCCACTTCCCCATCCACCTCCCTCTCCAACCCCTCTTCCTCCTCGTCCTCCACCGCCTCCACCTCCTCCACCTCCTCCTCCTCCTCCACCTCCTCCACCCGCACCGCCCCCAAGAAGCGGGGCATTCTCATCCACCTCGTCGAGAAGGTCCTCGTGCTGGTGGTCCTGCAGTATCCCCGACCGACTCACGTCAATGAAGGGAATGGTCTCAGGGTCACGTGCTCCTCGTCCTCCCACGTCGCTGTCGTCTTCTGCGTCATCCTGAAGGTGGCGGTTGAGGAGAGGCTGCTGCTGGCCGTCGTCCCCTTCGTCGTCGTGGTCGGAGGTGCTCGTCATCGCCTCGGTCGCCAGGGACGCGTCCACCACGTGCTCGGGGGCCTCCCACAGGGTTAGGTCGACGTTCACCGTCGGGTCTGGGGAGTGGGAGAGGTTGATAAAGGAGTAGTTGCGAGAGAGGGAAGGAGGGAGGGAAGGAGGGAAAGGAGGGAAGGAGAGAGAGAGAGAGAGAGGAGAGAGAGAGAGAGAGAGAGAGAGAGAGAGAGAGAGAGAGAGAGAGAAAGGGAGAGGGAGAGAGAGAGAGAATGAGACTGAAAGAAAATGCTGTTTAAAATATTACGAAGTCGGTTTCAAAGCAGCTTCAAGTAATTTCCATTCTGTAACAATGCATTTACACTGCATGTAGTACATTGCAATATAGGCACCTATTAAAGTATAAACTATTTCTGCTTCACTGGCTCCTAAATTCATCACGTCACCCACAAATCAAGAGTCCCGGGTTTAGACATACATCGCCGCCGTTATCAGGTAATATATCACACAGTGTCTGCGATAACACATTTTTATAGTCTAATATAATTTTATCCATGGTCAATAACCTGATTCTATCCGTAAACGTGAGGGTAGATAAAGAGTTATTTTATATTCTAAAAGTTAGAGATGTGTTAGAAGTTTTATTATGTATAAACAGATTGCATGCTGTATTGCTTCCAATTTCAGGAAAGAAAAAATGGCAACTCAACTGTCAACTCAGGAGCATTCCGATTCATCTAGTCTCTTTTGTAAAAATAAATGAATTAATTGATTCATTAATAAAGTGATGTTTATGTCTTTGTATTCCTAAAACTATAGCACTTTTTCTTTTTTATCAAAAGTTACTGGCTTCAACACTAATCTATTATTCTTTCAAGCGTTGGCAATCGGAGTCGTGAGTAGTTGCCACTTCTTTCTTTCCTGAAAATAGATGCAGTATGTTTCTTAACGATTCTAAGCCTAACATATGTAGGATTTAGCTGAAGTATGTGAGACGTTATTTGTTAAGGTTCCCGGCTACTTGCTGAACGTCAAATTGCTCCTTAAAGCTATAACATCCGGTATCCTATCTCATGAATATCTATTCACTTAAGAAATCGGAAAATTTCACAATGACAAGTATCAACGAAAAAAAGAAACGCTGAAGTTAAGTAAGCATCGAGCATAATTCTATCCTTGAAACCTACGTCATCCTATGTATTACTCTTCTGAACATTCTAAAAATCACTCTTTGCTTCCTTAAACCTTATGCTAATTTCACCATAAAATCCCATTTCGCTTCTAACAACGACACTGTTATTCCTAATTCTGTAGAGACCCTATCACACTAGCACTTTTTTCGCCAATATTTACGTTTTAGCATGAATTCAAGGGTTTTCTTATGTGTCATCTTCACAAACGAAACCGTTGTGATTCTCTACCTCTGTGGAAGAGCTGGACCAGTTACACACGGAAAGGTCATACGGAAACGCAAAATTTGACGATGTCATAGGGCCTTTAATAATAAGAGAGGTCCTTAACCATGGACCCAACGCACGTTAAGGGGTTCTGTCTCTCCTTTCGCCAGGACAGCAACTCACATTTTGTTCCCTCAACACAAGTCGGCAATAATAGAAAAAAATATATGTTACTCGGCAATAAAACGGCAAGAACAGCAAAACATGATATTGATAATAATGATAGTGATGGGTATAAAAAAGGGATACTGTATGTTAGTTGTATTCTATGGCTTGCCAAATAATAATGCTAATGATAATAATGATGATAATCCTGATGAAAACAAAAACAACAATGATAATAAAAAGATAAAAATAATGATAATAATAATAATCATAATAATAATAATAATAATAATAATAATAATAATAATAATAATGATATCAATAAAGATAATGATAACGACAGTAATGATAATGGTAATGATAATGATAATATTAGTGATAATAATGAGGATGATGCTAAAAAAAATAATAATGATCATAATAATAATAATATTGATAATAATTATAACTATAATAATAGTGATAATAATAATAAGATGAAAAATAGAATTCTGCCATTTTTTTACCGGCGTCTCATCCAAACCACTTCACTTACGTCCTTCATTATCCTTTTAGTTTCATTAGTAAAAGTGAAGCAGGACATGACCCACACGAGCGATGGGTTGAACCTTTTTTTTGCACTTTGTAAGGAAAGTTATAATAGTTACTCTTCACTCATAAAGATTTATACAAATATAATTACTATTGAAACTTAAATAATTACTATGAACAGTTATAAAGTGACTATCAAACCCTAAAATAAATAGCTATTTAACCTTTTAAGAATACCCATGTTATCCAAAGTCTACTTGATATCAACACTATATATTTTTATTTACGTATATAAAGTATACTACTCGGTTATGAAAAAATGTTACATCCCTATATTTACCATAACACAAAAGTACATATAACTGATAACTAGCTAAGGTTGTGGTTTCCGTCGACTAGTGAATCATTTGAATCACAAAACAGCTGTCATGTATATAAATAAAACATAAGGTCGTTAATGTTGTTCATGATATACAAAACAACAGATGGCGTAAGAAATGAAGCCTATGTCAGTGTTAAAGAGAGATATGAAACACATGCAAAACATAACAAACTATTTCGTACATTTTCATACAGCATGAAAACTGGGATTTTTAAAAGTTCTTTTCGCGGTGAGCTAACAGTGAAAAGAGAATACGTAGCAGGAATCTTGCATAATTGTTGCATGTTTTCAGCGTGATTAAATTTTACTTTGCCAGTTTTGACGTTCAAGTTGAATCATTCCCTAAATGTATCTCGTGGTAATTTCTCTGTCTGTCTGTCTGTCTGTCTGTCTCTGTCTCTCTCTTAATATCATTATCATTAATACTAGCATTCATTATTAGTATTATTGTTATCATTTAAAATATCACTTTTATTATTATTACTATTATTATCAATATTGTTATTATTATCGTTATCTTCATCATCATCATCATCATCATCTTCATCATCATCATTATTATTATTATTACTATGATCATTATTATCATTATTATTATTATTATCATTATCATTATTATTATTATTACTATTATTATTATTATTATTATTATTATTATTATTATTATTATTATTATTATTATTATTATTACGTTTTATTATTATTATTATCACTATCATCATCATTATGATCAATATTATCATCTTCATAACAGAAAAAATCATGAGAGCAGAAATATAAATCAAAATACATATAATAAAAAAAAACATAATTCCAAGAATAAAAAAGTTATCAAATCCTGCATAATAAGTAATCTTTATTAATACAGGGTTATAGAGCCTCACCCTCGCTCTTTCATTTAACATTCAATTAATCTGCGAAATTTTCAAAATCCGATTGAAGTATTATTGTGTCGATGGTGAAAAAAAGTCTTTGTTATTTTATTTTTTTCATTTTTATTTTCCTTTTTATCATTATTATTTTTGGAAGTAATAGTAGTAGTAGTATCTTTATTATTATTATTATTATTATTATTACTATTATTATTATTATTACTATTATTATTATTATTATTATTATCATTATTATTATTAATATCATTGTTATTGTTATTATCATTATCAATATCATTATCGTTATTATTATTATTGTTATTACTATTATTATTATCATTATTATTATATTACTATTACTATTATTATTATTATCATTATTGTTTTCATCATTATTATCCTTTTTATTGTTATTATTCTTATTACTTACACATCTATGCATGTATGTATATACATATTTTTTTTTGGGGGGGATTGGTCTATTTGCTTGTATTTGCTTGTTTATAATGATGATGATGATGATGATGATGATGATGATGATGATGATGATGATGATGATCATGATGATAATGATAATAATAATAATAATAGCAATAATAATAATAATAATAGTAATAATAATAATAATAATAATGACAATAATAATAATAATGATAATAATAATAATAATAATAATAATAATAATAATAATAATAATAATAATAATAATAATGATAATAATAATAATAATAATAATAATAATAATAATAATAATAATGATGATAATAATAATAATGATAATAATAGTAATAATAATGATAATAATAGTAATAATGATGATAATGATAATAATAATAATAACAATAATAATGATGAGAATGACGACAACAATAATTAGTAATAGCAGTAGTAATATTAATGATGAAAATGACAACAACTACAAACACTCGCGTCTAAGAGAATGATTACAATAATGATAATGATAATGATAATAACAATGAAAACGATAATGATAATGATAATGATAACACAAACGAACATACTAAAAATGACACTATCCTACATCAACAATTAATCACAGTACTAACAATATAAACATTTTTTTTTCTTTACGGTCGAGAAGATAATGGAACCAGTCAGTCACAGTTCAGCAGTCATACAGCTTTAACAAATCGTTGAAAAGAGAAAAGAAAAGGAAATAGAAAAGAAAAACTCGACGTGTGTGTTTGAGAGAGAGAGAGAGGGGGGGAAGGAGGGAAGATGGGAGGGAGGGGAGGGAGGGGAGGGGAGGGAAGGGAAGGGAAGGGAAGGGAAGGGAAGAGAAGGGAAGGGAAGGGAAGGGAAGGGAAGGAAAGGGAAGGGAAGGGAAGGGGAGGGAGGGAATGAGGGAAGGAGGGAAG